GCATAATGTTTCCACCTCCATGTTTGACGGTGGGGATGGTGTTCTTGGGGTCAGGCTGCATTCCTCCTCCTCCACACACGGCGAGTTGAGTTGATACCAAAGAGCTCCATTTTGGTATCATCTGACCACAACACTTTCACCCAGTTGTCCTTTGAATCATTCAAATGTTCATTGGCAAACTTCAGACGGGCATGTATATGTGCTTTCTTGAGCAGGGGGACCTTGCGGGCGCTGCAGGATTTCAGTCCTTCACGGCGTAGTGTGCTACCAATTGTTTTCTTGGTGACTATTGTCCCAGCTGCCTTGAGATCATTGACAAGATCCTCTCGTGTAGTTCTGGGTTGATTCCTCACCGTTCTCATGATCATTGCAACTCCACGAGGTGAGATCTTGCATGGAGCTTCAGGCCGAGGGAGAGTGACAATTCTTTTGTGTTTCGTCCATTTGCGAATAATCGCACCAACTGTTGTCACCTTCTCACCAAGCTGCTTGGCAATGGTCTTGTAGCCCATTCCAGCCTGTGTAGGTCTACAATCTTGTCCCTGACATCCTTGGAGAGCTCTTTGTCTTGGCCATGGTGGAGAGTTTGGAATCTGATTGATTGATTGCTTCTGTGGACAGGTGTCTTTTATACAGGTAACAAGCTAAAATTAGGAGCACTCCCGTTACTATGTGCTTCTAATCTCAGCTCGTTACCTGTTTTAAATACACCTGGGAGCCAGAAATCTTTCTGATTGAGAGGGGGTCAAATACTTATTTCCCTCATTAAAATGCAAATCAATTTATGACATTTTTGACATGCTTTTTTCTGGATTTTTTTGTTGTTATTCTGTCTCTCACTGTTCAAATAAACCTACCATTAAAATAATAGACTGATCATTTCTTTGTCAGTGGGCAAACGTATAAAATCAGCAGGGGATCAAATACTTTTTTCCCTCACTGTATACAACATTGAACAAAAAGCTGAGAAGTGCGAAAAAGGAGCATGCAAAGCCAAGACAAACATCGTATTGACTTTTGATTCATATTCTTGGTTCCTTCGGTAAAGTCACGTAGAAGGGAAACAATAAAATAATAAAAATATAAAACAATAAAATTAATAATACAAATATAAAACAATAAAATTAAATGAATTTTTATGTTTTTATTTCTTGTTGTTTTTTACGTGACTTTACCGAATAGAACCAAAGAGTAATATATCGTATTGACTGTTTAAGGGCTTGAGCAGGACACATCACCAACGGGGTTGTCGGCCAGTGGTAGAGGCTAACAACGGAGCAGCAGCCCAAGGAGAGAACACGCACGACAGGCCGTATCACTGCGGAGACGGAGTGATGAAAATCAGCTCGGTTGCAGGAGTTAAATGGATTGTTTTATCACATGACCCTTATTGATGGTGATGATTTTGGTAAGGCCTTCATCCAGCAGTGGACAGAAAATGGCCTATGCCGATGGCGATTGTAGTACAGTTTCCATATGCTTTGCCACTCATTTAATAAGAGCCATATATAAAGTAATTCTCTATAAGTGACTCAATTTCATTTACCATATTACACTGCCATTTCAACTCTATCCCCCTAAGTATTCTTTGGTGGAAATACATGCTTAAAATATGCTAATTCTTGCAACCAATACAAGATTCCCCATTCTTTTTCACAACTCAATATTAATGAATCATTCCAATTGCTTTTTTTTCAGCACCACTCCAGGTGTTACGAGTGGGTGCTCAGACATTCCCTCCAGGATTAAGCCTCCAAATTGATGACAAGAGCTTGGGACGAAGGAACCGCTATTATCCTTATTGATCGCACCTCCAGCCGTGGCCGGCAGACGTTCCACAAGGTATGAGTGTTTAAAATCAAAGCCAACTAATGCCACCGGTGAGTAATGCATCCACCAGCCCCAGTGGACTGTGGCTATGGTTTAAAGGCGCGGCTTGGACAAGGCAACAGGGGACAGCGTTGGATCACTGGCTGCTCGTTGACCTTTCTGGAGCCCATTCTTACAGGCAGACTTACTTGATAGAATTCAAAGTCAAGCAGTCATGTTGATTTATGGTCCCACCCTTCACCGACTTGCTCCATTCACTCGCTCACCAGTGGTCAGTCACCTCCTTATCACCCTTGCATCGCTACTTACATTGTTACTGCTCCCATGAACTACATCGTTTCTTCTCCCATGTTCAAGACTCAAAGTCTACCAGACTGACCATTTTGTCTCATCCATTATTGCGTTCAACCACCATGCTGCAGGTCTAAACAGTCGTCTTTTGGCGTTTATTGCAGTGCGCGCGTTTGAAATTCACTCCCATTATCTCTCTTGACAAGTTCAATTCAACAAAGGTGTGAACTCTTCGATGTTGCTGTTTGGTGTGGACTGCTGGACATTTTGGGCTTTTGAGCCTGTGCTCAGCAACTGTGGTATAAAACACAGCAACCAGTGTTTCCATTCTTTAAGCTAATCCAAAAACCATGCCATATCTATTGCATTATATTCAGTGATAGAAACGCGTGAAATCAAGGCCATGACCATAGTCTATTCCATGGGTGCATGGTAGCATTTAACATGCAACAGAAACTGCTGAGGAAGCTCAGTCAAAAGCAGTCCGGTTTGGCTGCTTAAAACCCACAAAAATCAGCTGGCAAGTATTGGTAGGATAATGGATTAAAATAATAGTTTATTTTAGTTTTCACGTAAATAAATACCTCCCATGCTTGTTTGTTATTTGAGTAGATCCGGCGCTTTTTGGAGAAATGGTAAACGGAAAAAAATGTGAGTAAGCTTCTTAAAATCGAGCGGTGCATCTTTTAATTAATTTTAGAGATTCAAATAAGGGAAGTGGGCAGGTGGCCACACGGGTCAGAGCACCGAGCCTGCATCGCCGAGATCCTTCGGGGTCAAACGTGGGCAGCCACTCATGATTAAAACCGGGTCCTCAAGTGTAGGTGATGATCTCAGCCCTGTCACCAATAAGCGGCCACAAAAAAAAACAAATCTCATCACGGTTTTTTTTCGTCACAATTTGGCTAAAATACAGCTCGGATAACAAATATCGATCGTCATGTGCACACGTTACTATTTAGCAGGCCGTGTGGCAAAGTGCTGCCCCCTAGTGCGTTGATTAAAAAAAAACATAATAACGTCCCTGGGTTTATATCGCTGAGAACGGGCAGGTTTCAATACAACTTCTAACACATGGAGGAGGAGGAGCTGCATGGTTCTCTAACCGTTCCAATGTGATTTCCTGCTCAGTCACCGAGGCGGGGCTCATCCCCTGCTTACAGCTAAGCCACTGCTGGAAATGCCACACTCCCGTGGTGGTGGGGCACGGGGCAAGTATATCCATAGATCCACCGCTGTTGACTTCCCCACGAAGCGGTACTATGTTTTGTCACCCCAGAGGGACGATGGGCCGAATCAAACCCCCAACCTTCCGATTGCATTGTGTAAGCCGCTGGCTCTACGAAAGATAACTCGACGATCATTCATGAGACCAATAACCATCAATTGCTGTAAACCCACACAAGCGGTGATATTGTAGCACACGAGAACAGCATTTGCGATGTTTGAGGTGGATGAGATGGCTTGTAGGTAAGGTTGGAATTCTGCTCAATCTGCCCACTTAAAATATCTATTTTTCTTCTGTCCTAATGCGTGTTTATATTTTCACACGTGCTCTGTACAGGTCACAGAGATGCTTGGGTCTTTAGTCATAACGCGCAACAAAAAAGGCAAATATGTAGCGCAGAAATTATGTTTACACCGCTTGTCGTGGAAGGGCCTCCAATTAACGGAATTTGGCCTCCTCTCTCGTTCACGCTGAAACCACGGCTTGGAGGTGGAAGCGTCCACACTTTAAACCTACCACACGTGGCCTAACAATCGACAGTGTGATGTACCCATTGACACGACTGGATGGACCCGTAGGCGGAATTTAAATTGCCTATTGTTTCAGCTGCCATATCGGAGGATCAAACCGGCAACCTCTAAATTGATATATTAAGACGCTATATGAATTCAAATATCTATTACATAAACCAGCACTTGACTTAAAGCTTTCGTGACTGCAGGAATTCATATTCTTTGGGTCTTTCGGTAAAGTTACGTGGATAGGTTCATCTACGCGACTTTACCGACAGGCTCAAGAATATAAACCAGCACTATCACACTTTTGTCCTCATTAAATGCCTCATCTCTAGACCACTTTAAAAGGTATGACACGATTCTTTAATAAAGAGCAGTAACATTCAACTGAAGCCAATTTAAAAGCGACCTTTCAAAAGTGACTTTGGTATGTTAATTTACTGGCGATGTAAAACCAAAAGCTTTGATAATGAAAACGAATGCGGTGCCTTTCTTACTGATGTGACATGCACTCTGGTGGCTACTGATACATCGCCTATTTGTACGATCCTTTGGCTTGTGATATGACCGATCACGCATCGGGTTTTCATTGGCAATTTATTAGACGAAAATACAAGTTATATTAAAATACAATATTAAATGACGTTATCATTTTTTATTTTACAAACCAGCAGGGCAATGAAATATAGCAAACACTTGTCTCGCGGCTTTAGCTACAGTGATTTTGCGCCAAATGTATTGTGGCACAGTTCACTGATCTCACCCCCGTGGCTCGACCACGAGATTCCTATGTGCATCATAACTGTATTGCTCGCGATGATGCTGCCGCATAAGGGGCCGTCCATAAATGACGTCATGCACCTAGGGGGGGAGGGGGGTCAGACATTTGTGACGATGTGTGACGAGGGGGGGGGGGTGTTTGAGAAATGTGACGTCACATCAAAATGCGCAACTTTAAATGAATACAGACAACGCGTTCTACTTAATTAAATAGACTTTTTAATGTTTTCTCCTACAACATCAGAGTGCAGCACCGCATTAAATACGTACTACAATGACGATAGTTTAAAGCGATTTGAAGCATGTTTTATTTGGGGGGGGGGCAGAGCTTTGTGACGTCATATTTGAGGGGGGGGTCTGACTTTTTGTGACGCCGTGTGACGAAGGGGGGGGGGGGTCAAAAATCGTCCAAAATCGCGTGACGTCGTTTATGGACGGCCCCTAAGAACAGTGTCATCTTATCTCCATCTTATCTCCATCTTATCTCCATCTTATCTCCATCTTATCTCCATCTTATCTCCATCTTATCTCCATCTTATCTTCCAAGCGGGCCCCAGGCCAAGCCGTGTTTCCCAGCTTCCAGTGGTGCTAAAGGGGTTCAACCGCACAATTCTTCTTCCTGTAGTGTCCGCTATTGTACGTGGATACGTGTACGGTACTGTCCACTAGATTACATATTTCCCATTCTATACATTTGCCATCCAAGTTATACTTAACACGACTTTTCTATTCAACACCATTTCCATGCAAATGTCCCCCAGTCACAATTCTTCGATGAGCGGTCGTCTCCTTGGTTCCTGGCAACGCTCTGCCGCGCTCTCCTCCTCCAGCCGGCCCAAGGCCACGGGCGTTTCGACCAACTTTAGGAATTCCGCATTTGGTTTCGCTTCCAGAAACTGGCGTGCTTCCGGTGGGCCAGCGCCGAAGGCTCGCGGCCTGTGCTCAATCCCGGCAGGGTTGCGAGTGTCCCGTGCGCTTCCCTCGTGCACACGGCTGTTTTGCTTCGGGGGAGACTGTGCGAGCGCCGCACACTCGCGCGCTTCACCCGACGCCGCCCGGTTCTCTGCCGCGCCCCTTGCCCGGATGTCCGGAGAAGGGGCCTCCCCACTCCGAGCCGAGACATCCGATGCCGATGTCGCAGCCTCTTGATGATGTTTCATGGCACCAAAGTTGGCCTCGGTGGTGCCAACAGCCTCGTCCTCACATTCGCTACTGCTGCTGCTCCCTTCTGTGGTAGATTCACTACTGCTGCTGTCGGAACTTTCGCTGGCACCGTCAGAAGACTCGCTCTCACTTTCCGAGTCCGAACTGCTGCTGCTGCTGCTGCTGCTGCCGCCGCTGCCATCCTCCTTGTCTGCCCATGCATCGTGATGGATGTTTAGACGCTTGAGGTCAGAGGAGAGTCCTGACACCACACCACTGGCTGCACTTTCATCCGCGTCCTTTATTTCTACGTTCAACTCCTTCTCCTCCTCCTAAACGGATAAAAGCAAGGAATATTACAATTTTACGATGTCACGGAGGCGAGTATACTCCTGTCAACGGCAGTGCACCACCAAGTGTCAGAGAACAGAACTTCAAGTGACATTAAATCAGAGAGTGTCTTTTGCTGCATCTCCATCAGGGCTGATTTATCATTTCAATTCTCAAAAAGCTGCAATGAGGCCAATCTAAGCAAAACAAACATTTTTAAAATGACGGGTTTTTGTGCGGACCTTAGTAACCAGGCTAAGACCATCAATTGCCCCATTTGAGGACCTGGCTGCCGGAAATGTGACCCCCACATACCAGCGCTGCTGACGGTGCTTTGTCCCAGAGCCACAACTTACTACCCAACAAAACTTACTACGCAACACAACTTACTACGCAATACAACTTACTACGCAATACAACACAACTTACCACACAACACAACTTACCAGGCAACACAACTTACCACACAACACAACTTACCACACAACACAACTTACCACGCAACACAACTTACTACACAACACAACTTACTACGCAATACAACACAACTTACCACACAACACAACTTACCAGGCAACACAACTTACCACACAACACAACTTACCACACAACACAACTTACTACGCAACACAACTTACTACACAACACAACTTACCACGCAACACAACTTACTAGGCAACACAACTTAGTACACAACACAACTTACTACACAACACAACTTACCACACAACACAACTTACTACACAACACAACTTACTACACAACACAACTTACTACGCAACACAACTTACCACACAACACAACTTACCACACAACACAACTTACCAGACAACACAACTTACTACACAACACAACTTACTACACAACACAACTTACTACACAACACAACTTACCACACAACACAACTTACCACACAACACAACTTACCCGACAACACAACTTACTACACAACACAACTTACCACACAACACAACTTACCACACAACACAACTTACCAGACAAGACAACTTACTACACAATACAACTTACTACACAATACAACTTACTACAAAATACAACTTACTACACAACACAACTTACCACACAACTTACTAGACAACACAACTTACTAAACAACACAACTTACTACACAACACAACTTACTACACAATACAACTTACTACACAATACAACTTAGTACACAATACAACTTACTACAAAATACAACTTACCACACAATACAACTTACTACACAACACAACTTACCACACAATACAACTTACTAGACAACACAACTTACTACACAACACAACTTACTACACAACTTACTACACAATTAAGACACCGTGCTGAGTTTTCCCCCCCCCCCCCCCCCAAAGTTGACTTCTCAAAAGGATGCAGCAACGCCCTTCAGTTTTGGCAACCGGTGAATGCAATGTGGTTTACATCAGCATGAGGGGGGTCACGCACGAGGGGGTCACGCACGAGGTCACGCACGAGGGGGTCACGCACGAGGTCACGCACGAGGGGGTCACGCACGAGGGGGTCATGCACGTGGGGGTCACGCACGACGGGGTCACGCACGAGGGGGTCACACACGAGGGGGTCACGCACGAGGTCACGCACGAGGGGGTCACGCATGAGGGGGTCACGCACGAGGTCACGCACGATGGGGTCACGCACGAGGGGGTCACGCACGACGGGGTCACGCACGAGGGGGTCACGCACGAGGTCACGCACGACGGGGTCACGCACGAGGGGGTCACGCACGACGGGGTCACGCACGTGGGGGTCACGCACGAGGGGGTCACGCACGAGGGGGTCACGCACGACGGGGTCACGCACGACGGGGTCACGCACAACGGGGTCACGCACGAGGGGGTCACGCACGACGGGGTCACGCTGTCCTGAGTCTCGCTTTTGTCATTTTGGCGATCCAGGTCACTCTTGCAAAAACGAGACGATCCCCGGGTCTTTTAAGTCCATGCCCTATTAAACACTTAAACGTGATGTCTGAGTAGGCTTAACACATGTATTCAAAGCTTTCATTTGATGCCCCCCTAAGCAGTGAATGAGGGGATGCAGCATGGCTGCTGTAGACACCTGCTCCTTCTGCACCATGAGCCCGATCCTTTCCTCCTCCAGCAGATCGAATCCCAGCTCTTCTTTGCTTATCTTTGCTTTCCTGAGGGCGTCGGCGAGGTTCAGGAGGCGGTGAGGTCTGTGGACATTAAGAAATTACGAGGATATCGTCAGGTGCCACTTACGGCAACACTCAAGATTGGGGGGTGGGAGAGAGTGCAACTGCGCGTCTTACTTAGTCTTCTGGACCCAGATGCAGTAGTCGGTGATGTAGATGTCATTCAGGATGTAGGCTGGGTCATTCTCACGGAACAACTTGTGTGTTGCCAGAAGGCACTTCATCACACCCTGTCTGCCTGCAGGCAAACGACCACGCAAGGAGTTAAAGAGCAACGGGCAAAACATGCGCAACACACGCACGCTCCGGTGAGTGGGAGACCAAACATTTCATCGTGTACTACATGTGGTAGTTGACATCACAGAGTTGAAAGTGCATGGGGATAGTGTGTTCATCGATGAAAATGATCACTGAACAAATTACTTACCCAGAGCAAATATACGAGCTGCATCTTCTACCACCTTCAAGACGAGTCCAAAGTGCCTGTAAAGTGGATAGCAAAGCACTCTCCTGGCAAAGGACACCAGAACTTCTTGTAGAGTCTCATAGGTCTGAAATGATGCGGAAACAGAACGTCAGTAATGGGCGTTCACGCTCCCTTAAGAGATTGAGGCATCTGAGCATGACAAGATACGTGCACACCAAACTCGAATTTCATCGCAAGTGAATATTAATATGATACATATTGAAATGTGACTATATTTCCCACCTCGAACCAGCACAGAGTTCCACTGAGTTTCCGGATGTTCCAGGGTCCCTCCACCTGTGGGAAAACGCCCTGTGAAGAACAACTCAAGGACAACAGAAACCCATCCCGACTGGCCCAAATAATCACAAATGAAAAACACGAAATTAGCTGCCCTCATTATTACCACTTAAAATACATACTTGCTACAAGTATGGGCATAGGCCTTGATTTTTAACAGAGGGAAGGGCAGATTGACGAACAGTTGGAGGTGCCACATTGCACTTTAGTACCATGAGATGAAGTGAACATTCAAACCAAGTTGATAAATTACTTTGTTTGATATGAACAGTTCTACACTGGAGGACATGGCGTATCAGACAAACCCTAAAACGTCAAACGTATAAGTGTAAGGGGTTAAAGCGGTAGCAGTGGCAAGTGCACTGCACTTTGAATCCGGTAACCTGAGTTTGATTCCTGGCCACGGATAACATCCGTGGGAAGCGATACCTGAACTGCATCTGGGGCCACTCCTCCTCAACAACCCCCACTGACCAATGACCAACACAGCATAGGAAGGCATTCATCCAGTAGTGGACTGACAAAGGAAAGACAAGTTATTTTATGTACAAACTGTTTATTTCAAATTTGCTTGTGCACTACTGCCCGAGGCCCATATTCCTAGTCTCAGCTCGGCTCAGGATTAACTCTGGCACAAATATAAGTAAGCTCAAAGCCACGCTTCACCTGAGCAGGCTTCAATCATGGTTCCAGCCATGCTCAACATTTCCATGAGCTAAGCCTGAGCCAAGCCAAGCAACAGCTGAGCCACTCAAGCATTTTTGGAAGCAACCGAGCGGCTCGAACTTGAACTGAGCTGCGTTAAGAGGCCAAGCCAGAGCCCAGCCGTGACCAACATTACGGCCCTCAAAGTCTCGTCTATCTAACTCACGGAGCAGAAACACAATGGGATGGCAAAGTCTGACCGGCGGAGTCGACACTGCCACTGAGCACCCTTACGTGGCTCTCGCCGCCTGTGATGCGGACATCGTAGGCGACGGCGAGGATGATGTCCACCATGCCCAGGTAGGCCTGGCGTCGAGATGCCCGGTCCAGCACAAAGCTCTTGTTGGTGAAACGTCTGAGCTGCTCCTTATCCTCCTCTGTGAAGGGAACTGAAAAAATGACAAAACCACACCATATTCGTTGGGTCTTTCGGTAAAGTCACGTAGAACACATTTTTTTACAAAAAACTACGATTTTTCGATCGCAACACAAGCAATCGTCATCAGGAGGAAAAAAGGAGGTAAATGTTTTTGTTCTACGTGACTTTACCGAAAGACTCAAAGAATATGAATTCCTGCAGTCACGAAAGCTTTAAGTCAGAGATAAAACCACACCACCTTTATTATTTCCATATTCTTCTTTATCAAGTGTGGGATTCCAGATTAGACCGTGTTTAGCATTCTTTTCTCAAGCTGTCCGCCACGCACTACAGCACACATCTTCAACTCCCTAAGATGCTTCAGTTGTGTGTGGAAATGATTAATACGCGCCATGACCGCACTTGGATTACGAGTGGCTGCGAAAAACATCCGTGGTAAACTCCTCTTCACCTTCTCCAAGCTGCACTGACCAGCGTGGCGAAGTATGTTCAAATATACCTCATGACCCACACGGCGTAGGGGGTCCCCCTCGTCCAGTGGTGGATTGACAAAAGGGGCCGTACGTGCATATTCTCATTCACTGTTAAAATAGCACGACAGTGGAAAAGACATTATGTTTACCACACAAGTGTGGTACACGTCGCACCAATGTCTCTTGGCACTGTGCAGCTCAATGGCGGAGCAAGGATTTTCAGGTAGGGTGGCAACCCCTCCAGCAATGAAAAATGATAGGCCTTGTTAGCAAGTAAGGACTTGTCCCTTGCTTTTTACTCGACGCGTGTGCGGCCATCGATCGAGGGTCGAATTCGAACCGTGTGTGATTGGCATCGCGCTCGCTGAAGGTGTTTGCCTTCAGGGAAGTTGTGTACTGTATACGCAACTGCGCACAATTCTGTGAGTCACTTATAACTGCTTTGCCATTATTTATTGCCAATTATGGACTCAGACCATTGTCCCATCATCTCATACAGTCCCTCGCACGTAATAATACGCTACACAGTGGCAGTGGGGGTCGCAAAATGCTGATTTATCTATATATATGAAAGGGAAATTTGTGAATGTGTGTCTGTTCGAAATGTTTAGCATACTTCCCAACATGCTACAAACTTTAAATTTGGCATGTGGGTAGCTTCCATACTGTACACAATGTAAAAAGTATAAAAGTAGACTTTGTATTTTGGGGGGGGGGGCAATAATGGATATATTTTGCACGGCAAGTGAGCGGTGACGTCGCATCTGTGATGACTAAACTATTAATTTATGTGCAAAGAATGGGTACACCTGCTAGTTACTAATAAACCCCAATGATTCGATCGAAATTAGGGATTTCGATATCGGATCATTGGGGGGGGGCACGTGCCACCCCCCCACTGGCTCCACCAGTGGTGCAGATGTTTCTCACCTGCTCCAGCGTCGCAGCCATCCCACCAAGGCCGGTAGCTCAACGTCTCCATGACCGGCTCGTCTTCAAAGTAGTCGGCTCTGACGGAGCAGCACATGGCAACCACATGGCAATTTCTGGCATTTTACACCACGTCACTGTGGTAATTACCTGCTTGCTCAATACTCCAGGCACGAGCTCATTAAAATGAAGCATCTGCATATTAATGACCTGGGGCCTGTGGTGGGAAATGACCTAGAAAATAAATGCTAATCCAGTGGATGTCCAAAACAATGCCACCCAATCATAATCCCAAGGAATGTAATCAATATGCACTCTACAACGTAATCTGATATAATTTAAAATATGGATATTTGTAACTACAGTATAATTAATTCATTGAACAATTTCCATTCAAGGATGTAGCGTTTCACAACCATTTCATAATCATTGTAGTCGTCCGGGTTAGGCTGCGTATTGAATATATCTACTCTCAAGCTTTTGCCATGCACGAGTGTCGGAATCTTAACTTTCTGATGATGCCAGCAGTAGAAAGCAGTGGAAAAAACTCGAGCAAAAACATGCTCAAAGCGCAGCCTAACCCGATGACCCACGCTTAAAATTACATGCATTTTGATGCAACGTGAAAAAATCAGTAGCACTTATAAACTGAACTCCTATACAGAAGAATATATTAAAAACGTAAGGAAAAATATTTCTATATTTTTCTATTTTACACACAGGAACAACAACTCACAGGTAATGATCAGCATCAAACTTTGAATCCTCTGCTTGCAGACGGAGTGCCCTGCGCTGTGCCGCCGTGGAGCTCTCTGGACTCTGCAGGTCGATGACATCGCTGAGCTCTTCCTGCATCCAACAGAGGTGACCCACCCACCCCCATGGCATGTCCAAACAAAAAGGGTCCAGCCTATGACAATGCTTGCACTGCACTCACATGCCCAGAATCTAGGGGAATTATAAAACTTGCTTCTGCGCATGTGGCAGATTTGTGTTGCAAGAGATTCAACTAGCAAAAAAACATACAACCACTCCCCTATCGATGTCATGAAAAATGCATGGGTAATGCAAAATGTACATGAATAGCCTTTTGTCAAGCCACTGTTGGATTAGGATCTCGACACACCAGCCGGGTATGTGGGTGGGTTCTTTGGTCAGTGTGGGCTGGGGAAGGTTGAAAACAGAAATGTGGGAGCACTGAAGTACAATTAAACAATTTATTTTGCTGTACTGCTCTCTGCTTAATAGCCAATAACAACTAAGTTCAACTAAGTTCAACCCCGCCAATCCAAGCGGGGTTGAACTTGGATTTGAAATTGTGAGTGTAATGCAAATTTTCAAATACGGAAAAATGCAATGTACGAGACTTTTTGCGCAATATTTGTTTTTACATTTGTCTTACAATTCCCCATACACTTATGTATTACTAACAGATGCAATGCATGTCTTTGTCTAATAAAGATTCCTGTGCCCATCTCAGGTGACACATGGCTCCCTTAAGGCAGGCAGTCTTTGCCCTCATGCGCATGCTTTGAAAATCCCAAAGTTGTCTAACAAATCCCGACGGGGGATTTGTGTTTGACACCATCAGCTCGCTCAGTCCTCTCCGGACCTGCAGTCGGTGGAAGACACCAGTGCGTGATCCCCCAAATCCGTATCCAGTGCCGCCCAAGCATGCCGGCTCCTCATATGGCTTCTGTTCCACCTGCCAGTCAAACTCCTCCTCGTCATCCTCCTCCTCGTCATGCTCCTCCACACCCTCCTGGCTCTCACCCAGTGTCCCTGGAGCAGACGGCACAGCACGGCAACCATGTACTCACTTCTGTTCCAGAATGCGATCAGCGAGCCGGACTAATTTGACAATGCGAGTTGCCATGTACGGCCCTTTTGAGAAACCACTGATGAATGGGGGCTGCACCACACTGTGGGGGTCATGGGGGATTATTTGGCCATACTTCGCCACGCTAGTCATTGCGGTTTGAAGGCAGGGGAACGTAGGCATTGGTAGAGCACGATGGCATTTTCTGGACTGCCCTCAGGTGACAATACAGCGCCGCAGCAGTTCATGACACCAATTTTATGCACGGTGGTCACCCATAGAAGCATTATCCAGGCACAAGCGTGCTTAGTTTCTGATATCTGAAGAGATTGGGAACAGTCTGGGTGATTTGGTATTTTGTGTTACTGCAATACTAGATGACATTTTCATGCAGGGATGAATAGAAGCCGATATATGGAAGAGAACAGTCACATTTTTTTTCAATCCCGTACAAATCTCCCACTCTCACATCACACCCTGCTAGATTCGGACACATGCATCCGTTCAATGGGTATATTAGAAATAACACAAACTAGCATGCCATTCTGTCTCGCCCACAGGTACAACGTTACAGTTGCACTGACCATGATCATACCGTTTATTTTAGCTTGTCATGTGCTTAAGTTACTTTATTTACCCATCTCGTTGACAAGAGTCTTGGCTGAGCGGGATCCTCTGGGGGCTAAGAGTGCCGTTAGCATGTCCAACCCTTCAAAGTGCTCCCCCGGGCTCTCCTTGGGGACTCGTATAGTGAACACGCCTGGCAGTAACAAAACAAAATAATTAGAAGTGACACTTTTACTCATACACAACAAATTATTTGGTAAAGCTACATTGACAGTGGTGAACAAGCAAAATTAAAAAAATATCAACAAGTTCACGTTATTTTGCATTCTATTGATAAGGCTTGTTTCCTGAAAAATCGTCTATTATATATTTTCCTTCCAATGCTGATGAATGTGTTGAGTGTTTTCTTTAACTCACAGTTTTACAAGTTTTCATGCATATACTGCTATTGAACTCGGGTGGATTTTACTGGAAGACGTGTTAATGAATTACACCCAATATGGATGGAATATATAGCATTGAAGTTATACTATTTTGGGTTTAATTGAAAACATTTTTTTGCATTAGCTTCATCCTTGAGTGCTATCGGTGTTTATTGTAATGCAACCTGGGATTCTCTGCATGAAAAGAAATATATAACAACAAAATGTAAAGTATTGTATTCTTTGGGTCTTTCGGTAAAGCCACGTAGATACAGTGAGGGAAAAAAGCATTTGATCCCCTGCTGATTTTGTACGTTTGCCCACTGACAAAGAAATGATCAGTCTATCATTTTAATGGTAGGTTTATTTGAACAGTAAGAGACAGAATAATAACGAAAAAATCCAGAAAAACGCATGTCAAAAATGTTATAAATTGATTTGCATTTTAATGAGGGAAATAAGTATTTGACCCCCTCTCAATCAGAAACATTTCTGGCTCCCAGGTGTCTTTTATACAGGTAACGAGCTGAGATTAGGAGCACACTCTTAAAGGGAGTGCTCCTAATCTCAGCTTGTTACCTGTATAAAAGACACCTGTACACAGAAGCAATCAATCAATCAGATTCCAAACTTTCCACCATGGCCAAGACCAAAGAGCTCTCCAAGGATGTCAGGGACAAGATTGTAGACCTACACAAGGCTGGAATGGGCTACAAGACCATTGCCAAGCAGCTTGGTGAGAAGGTGACAACAGTTGGTGCGATTATTCGCAAATGGAAGAAACACAAAAGAACTGTTAATCTCCCTCGGCCTGGGGCTCCATGCAAGATCTCACCTCGTGGAGTTACAATGATCATGAGAACGGTGAGGAATCAGCCCAGAACTACACGGGAGGATCTTGTCAATGATCTCAAGGCAGCTGGGACCATAATCACGAAGAAAACAATTGGTAACACACTACGCCGTGAAGGACTGAAATCCTGCAGCACCCGCAAGGTCCCCCTGCTCAAGAAAGCACATATACATGCCCGTCTGAAGTTGCCAATGGACATCTGAATAATTCAGAGGACAACTGGGTGAAAGTGTTGTGGTCAGATGAGACCAAAATGGAGCTCTTTGGCATCAACGCAACTCGCCGTGTTTGGAAGAGGAGGAATGCTGCCTATGACCCCAAGAACACCATCCCCACCGTCAAACATGGAGGTGTAAACATTATGCTTTGGGGGTGTTTTTCCGCTAAGCGGACAGGACAACTTCACCGCATCAATGGGACGATGGCCGGGGCCATGTACCGTCAAATATTGGGTGAGAACCTCCTTCCCTCAGCCAGGTCATTGAAAATGGGTCGTGGATGGGTATTCCAGCATGACAATGACCCAAAACACACGGCCAAGGCAACAAAGGAGTGGCTCAAGAAGAAGCACATTAAGGTCCTGGAGTGGCCTAGCCAGTCTCCAGACCTTAATCCCATAGAAAATCTGTGAAGGGAGCTGAAGGTTCGAGTTGCCAAACGTCAGCCTCTAAACCTTAATGACTTGGAGAAGATCTGCAAAGAGGAGTGGGACAACATCCCTCCTGAGATGTGTGCAAACCTGGTGGCCAACAACAAGAAACGTCTGACCTCTGTGATTGCCAACAAGGGTTTTGCCACCAAGTACTAAGTCATGTTTTGCAGAGGGGTCAAATACTTATTTCCCTCGTTAAAATGCAAATCAATTTCTAACATTATTGACATGCGTTTTTCTGGATTTTGTTGTTGTTATTCTGTCTCTCACTGTTCAAATAAACATCCCATTAAAATTATAGACTGATCATTTTTTTGTCAGTGGGCAAACGTACAAAACAGCAGGGGATCAAATACTTTTTTCCCTCACTGTACGTGCATAGGGCACGCGAATCGTCATCATCTACGTGACTTTACCGAAAGACCAAGAGAATATGAATTCCTGCAGTCATAAAAACTTTAAGTGAAGATGTAAAGTATTGTATTAGACATTTACACTATGTTATTACTGCTAAATATTTCATTATGTTAATGTCCACTGTAAATGCACCATGTTGCTTTGTGATCAGATCCTCCTTTGACAAAGATGTTTAGTTTCCATGGGCTCTCTCACCTGGTTTAAAATTCATGGGTGGAATAAATTATTTGTATAGTTTTAGTGTTACACCGCACCTTTTTCTGCATCATAGGAGGCCTTTTCTCGTCCATCTTCAATGATCCGTCCTGGCAAGTTCAACCTAACAGAGCATTTAAATTTATGAATGAAAATCAAGGGTAGCACTTTTTGATACTGGCTTGAACGTGGAACTTGCAAATATGTCCACATAACATAGATAAAAAGGGCAAGTTGTCACCCAACAAAAACATAACCTGTTAGTTCATTGAAAAAATATCAACAGCTATCATACTATTGCATATGCGTTTCTGGTTGTGCTGTACAGCTTTCGCATGTGTTTTTGGATTGTACCGCATGTGGTTCGGCACGATGGTCCCCTTCCTGAAGATGCTTCCAGGGTGTCCAGTGAAATGTCGGACATATGCCGCACGCACAGTACAGCCCCGAAACACATGGGAGAGCTAAACTGCTATCATCCGGGTGTATTTGTGCTCCGGGCAAGGAACTGTGTTGCGTGTCAGCACTTGCCTCAAGAAGTAGGGCTTGGCGTAAAACTTGAAGTCGTGACCATCGATGTAAAGGTCCAGCTCTGAGACACGTGCATAGGGCACGCGAATCGTCACTGTCAGGTGATCGGTGTCCTGGCTCAACTCGAATGCCGGAGTGAGCATGGTGAGGTTTCTATTCGTCTCTGGGTGCAGTACAGAACAGAGAGGGGAGCCGTTTAATGAACGAATGTAGGTCATCATCAGCCATGTTCTTTTGACTGCTGGACGTATGACTACCAACACTGTCATCAACTATCAGTTCCGCAACAATCCATCTTGCTCGTAAACTTTAAATTCCTCCACACAATGATAAACAACTGACATTCCCAGCTGTGCTGTGACAAACTATAAGTGCATATAGTAAAACCCACTTGATCAATGATGTCCATCTTTGTTGAGAATCATTTATTTAAATTAGAAACCTCCTCCTTTACAGTATTTATTAGGTCTTTAATTAAATCTCCTTTACCAAATAGTTGGCTCACTTGCTCTGCAATAAAAAAAACGTTACTCGATCGAGGAAAAAACACATTAATTGCAGTTTGCATTCATCATTAAAAATGCCTTCTCCTGCATCCTTTTAAATATTGACCATCAGCTGGCACAGGTGTACTGGCATAAACCAATCATTCGCATCACCAAACCACAGTGCATGGGAAAGCTGGAAACTTTGAGTGGAAAAGGGGGCACGAAACTTTCTGCCCCTGTTAAAACTCGGGGCACTCGATTGCTGCACGTGGTCATTGTAAATGTCACCATGATTGACACTAGGAGCTATGACCCAGTTTTTATTATTGCGGAGAGGCCACCGTCAAATTAAAACCAATGGCGTTTGTTCTATATCCACATAATGAATTGCATACAATAGCTAGAGCACAGTATTCTAGCCATAGTTCATGCTCATCACTCACGTCAGGCACCGTGGGCAGCTTCACTGAAATAGACCGACTCCTGCCATTGATACACACACACACACATGTACAGTCTTGTTGTGTCATTCCACTGCTGGACGAGGGCCTCGCCAATCCCGTGCTGGACGTAGGGGGGGTGTTAGAAGACATACTTCACCGCGCTGGTCAGCTCTGGTTGGAGGCATCGGTGTACAATGGGACGTTGCTACACTGCCCTCTGCTGCTCACAACATATTAGACATTCGGTACTGTGCATGGACTACGCAGAGGTTCTAGAATATAGAGGGACACACAAGAGCTCAGTAAAGTCCGTTGTACTCGTGCAGGCATCTTCTGCCAGCAGTGGCATGAGGAAGTAAATTGCAAGGCTGCACTTTTACCCGCCCTATGTACAGTATTGTGATAATACTAAAGCAGCCGAGTACTGTTCACACAAGTGCCAAAAAGACACGACTCACGCCCGTCATCCGTCACATTCAATAGTACATTATTACATACAAAAGTAGCAACAACTAAAAATATAAGCAAAGGCAAAAGAACCGCACGGAAACGAATCTGCCCATCACCACCACCACCACAACAACACGTGGGCCAGTCTGAATGCACGCACGAACCCCAGATATAAAACGGCTACCTACCCCTCGACTTCTTCAACGTGCTGTTAGGGGCAGAGGCAAAAGCCCAAACGGGGTCGTGAGCGACAGTGCCAGGAGGACGCGGGCGGCTTAAGAAACGAGGCGAGAGAGCGAGCCGCTTGGTGGAAGCGGTGGCGGTGGTGGTGAGCCAAGTCGCCTTCGCCTTGGCTGGGAGTGCCGCACGGCGACACGTGGGGCGCGAGGCAGGAAGTGACGACACAGAGGGGGAGGAGGGGAAGGAAGAGGGAGGGTAAGGAGAGAGGGAGAGGGCAGGGAGGGAAGGGGGGAGGGGTGAAGGAGCGGGGAGGAGGGGGGGGAGAGAAAGGGAGGGGGGGAGCAGGGTGGGGGGGAAGCAGGGAGGAAGGAGCCGCGGAAGGAGCCGCGGAGGGAGGGGGAGAAGGAGGGAGGGGGGGAAGGAGGGAGGGGGGGAAGGGGGGGAAGGAGGGAGGGGGGGAAGGAGGGAGGGGGGGAAGGAGGGAGGGGGGGAAATGAGGGAGGGGGGGAAAGGAGGCAGGAGGGAAAGAAGGGGGAAAGAAGGGGGAAGGAGGGTGGGGGAGGAGGGGGGGGAAGGAGGTGAGGGGCTCTCATTCTTAGGTGTCAACGCTTTGGGGGCACAACTGCGCGCTAGTTGTCCGCACGCACGCTGAGTAACGCTCTCTTTAGTTAAGCGCTAATTGTTCACAATGTACGGCGATTTCTTCGGAGGCATGGCTGACTACTTAACTATTTACAAGTTTTGGCTAAAGTCCCTCTTGTGCCTATGACTGAAACTTGGCCATCTATACACAAACCTGTACAACCCATGTGGGACATTTGAGTTTGCAGGTCCATGCGGCGTACAGCCGTTTCAATACGGGAAAAATGTAACATTTGTTTGTGTTTCTCCCTTGTGGTGGGACTTTGTAGGATGAACGTTGAGATTTATAAGGGCACGGGGTGACCAATAAGGTCTGAATTGGTCTGTAATAAAATATTACGTGGTGTGCATTCGCCTATTGCTGCAAATGCATGAGCCCCAAGATTGTTTCAATAAGCACACGAATCCGAGCCATGTGTGGGTTGACATGTAGTTGCACGGAGTTCTTGGATTTGAAGCTTTCGTGACTGCAGGAATCCATACGCTTTGCTCCGTTCGGTAAAGTCACCTGATGACGAACGCTTGTGTTGCGCCCGAAACGTCGTGATTTATTTTATTTTATACCTACGTGACTTTACCGAAAAAAACAAAGAGTATGCACGGAGTTGTTCAACGTGTCTCGTTAGATTTGAGACTATAAAGTCATTATTTATATCACTACAGTATTAACCTTTACATGTGTTGTGTAGTAGACTCACGCGGAGACGAGGAATATGATGAGGGCTGTTGCCGTTTATTAAATCAATCCAAGGCCGTAGCCATGGAGTCAACATTGGGGGGGACCAAATCTCCCAGGGGGTCTAGGGGTCCCGCCCCCCCCAGAAAAAAAATCTAAATTTGAAAACGAATTTCCTGCCTAAAATATTAAAAAAATTCACTAACACATAGGATGGACTTTTTATTATTATTTTTCCAAGAATGTCTAATAGTGTATTACATTGCTGTTTTTTCTTTTTTACCTTTTCTTGTTTCATTGCATGTAATGGCAGAGATTAGGGATTTATAAAGTACAACCATAACCACAATCATATAAACAGAAATCTATTTTATAGCAATTTATTGGGATGGACATTTTGAGCATATTTGAATATAATTAATATATATTGGGGGGGGGGGGATCCCCCCAAATATGTATTATAATTACGGCCTTGAAACACTCTCACACTCAGCATCCTACACTCACACCAGTGTAGGTGCACTCTATCTCGTCCCTTTACCCCGGACACTGAATACTATTTGGGCCCAACCCTCGGCTACCCTTTAGGCTCTCTCACTCGTCTGACCGGAGCGGCGGTTCAGCCAACACTGCTCCGCGACGAGGAGGGAGGGGAAAAAAACAAATATTACATAGAAAACAGGGGGACATAGACATGGAGTAGGGAGAGAGGGGGTAGAGAGAGAGGGGGGGGGGAGAGGGGGGGGGAGAGAGGGGGTAGAGAGAGGGAAGGACAGCGCTGCAGTCGCTCCGGGTGGCTGCCCGGATCCTGGCCGAAGCCAAGGGGGCCTTCTCAGCGGCAGCGGGGAGTACGCCCCCCATCGGCGTTGGGGATGACGAGGCCCCTCTTGGTCCCCCTCCACCGGAGCTCTCAGTCGTGCCACTGCATCGCCAATGCCGACAAGCGAAGGCGGATCACAACCTGTGCCGGCTGGAAGACCTGCCGGAGGTGGCTCTCGCAAATGTAAAGAGGAAGGTGCTCTACTCCTACTTGGTCCGGTTCCACCAACAGGACACCCTGAGGAGCCACAAGGACCATGCCTGGAGGAAAGCCCTGCCCTGCGTCTCTCCGGAGAGGCCTCGCTGGGGGCAACTCTACTCCAGCCCGACGTACAACCGCATTGGTGACCTCAGCTGGAGCATCGCCCACGGCACCGTCACCACCAATGTCTCCCCGGCGCGCTTCACCGACACGTCCCCGGAGTGTTAGTTCTGTGGTAAAGTGGAGACGGTGGCGCACTAATACGTGGAGTGCAAGAGCCTGGACTCGTTGTTCAAGGTCCTGAGAAACATCCTCCTATGGTTCAGCCTCCACTTCTCCCCGACGGTCCTCATCTTTGGATACCCGAAGGGCGATGGACCTCAACATCTTCAGGGGCTGGTCAACGTGCTCTTCGGCTACGCCAAGCTCGCCATATACAGGGTGAGGAAGGTAGCCCTGGAGGAGCAACGTCCAGCCAGCAGCCTGGGCATCTACCGCGCTCTGGTCGGAGCCAGGGTGTGGCTGGAGTTCCGACATGCACGGCTGACCCACGCCGTGCCGGCCTTCAAGGAGCAGTGGGCGCTGGAGGAGGCCGTGTGCTCGGTGGCAGATGACGGAGAGCTCTGCATGCAGATCTAAGCTACCCGTCGGAGGCCGTTTGACTGTGGGAAGGGCTGCGTGCAGGTGCAGCACTTGTCGTAGTTATAAAAAAAGAGAGAGTGAGCAAGAGAGAGCCAAATGGAGTAGGAAGAGAGGGGGCAGAGAGAGAGGTGGGGCAGAGAGGGGGGTAAGGAGAGCAGAAAAAATATTTTGTTGGGTCTTACACAAAGCAAAGCATAAAAAAAAAACGAAATGAAGCAAAGTGCCGACTACACCGAGCATCGTCTTGTTTCCTCTGATCGTAAAAAAAGACCCTCTTCAGCCAATCCTTACCCTGCCTCCCCACGACGACCCCACCTTCCCCCAGCTCGGCCCTGCCCATGTTCCCGAAGGTGCTCTCCAAAGCCCCTTACACAACCCGTGACGTTACGTCATCCTTGACCGTCAACCTCCTCGCACCTCCTTCTGTTCCCCCCCTCATTGGTTACTCACAATACCCCTCACCACATGTTAATACACTGCATCATGTGCTCTCAAAAGTACTGCATGCGATGTAACATAAAGCACTTCCATGCCACCTGCTGTACAATATCGTGTACTGCATACTTTGGGCATAGCTTTCGGGGAATTCGCTTTGTATTACATATTGAGGTTTAACCAAATTAAATTCGATATAAGGGGCCATAATATCCAATCAGAGGGAAGTGTTTAGACTTCAGAGTGCAGTATTCACATGCCCCACACATTTACTCTTATGCATTCGTACTTCGGCATGAGCCCCTTCTCACAAATGTCTGGTCCACAGTGGGAACAGCTACATATCAATGAGCCATCCCACCAATGTAAGTCAGATCAAGTGTTGGCAACATCATGTTGTACTTCTAACAAAGAAAGAATAAGTTAATTGCACCGTATCAAACAATGAGCATTCAAACTTATATGTAAATGGTCTCTATATGCTGCGATAGTGTTCATCTTAAGTGGCGCATTTCTCTGTTAAATGCAGACTGCAAGATATATGCATTTCAGGTACAGACGCAAAAACAAACTCCGGACTACCACACATGACAAATATTTGTATATTTAATGTGCAATACAAAACACAGGCACCACAATGAAGGCAGTGGGGAGAGTGGGGGGATAGTCTCCCTCCCTTGGCTTACTGAGAGGTAAACAATAGGCAATAGCCACCGGACTAACATTACTGTGGATGTGGAGGCATGAGTCGAGTAACTTACTTTTAACAGCAAAATACAAGTTAACATATCATTGTACTGTTAAACATCATGTACGCAAAGCGCATAACAAATGTAATGCACTGTATTGCAGTTTGGGCAAAGTTAAAGGCCCTTAGAGGGGGACTGAAATTCGTGTCCTTTGCACGTTAAATTAATCGGTCTCGAGTTCCGTCCCCTCGGCAAGATTTTTTTCCCCCTTACTTAACATTTGCAACAACCCACCCCATAGTCTTTCCTAGTCTTTCCTCCTGCCCACCCATCCACAATCCCACCCACCACCTTTCTCTTAACATCACACCCTCCCAGTGAGATTTAGCTACCCCCGCACCCCCAATTGTAAAGCAGTGGTGCCCACCAATGTTCACAGTCTCAATATTTTTAACCTCCCATTTCACAAATGCAGAACGGTCTAAAGGTGTAATGGGCCACGTTAGGCCCAAATACAATATAATGTACAGGTTTAAGTGCAAAAGCATATTGAAGGAAAATGTTCTTAAAACAAAAAAAGGCCTTATGTGTCACAATGGCACTTTTCTTGAGGTTGTCAACTTTCCAAAAAAATTGGCCAAAACAAAACACTCGAAGCACTGTTCCCAAGATTCATCGAGGCCGAGCCATCAAACAAAACCAGCACTTGACACCCATGTAAAATAACAAGCAAAAACCACAGCATGATAATTCATCGTGGCATGCTGATAAATAAACATGTGCTTCTTTTTATACAAGTACAGAATATGAACCATGCAAAATATACAAAACTACAACAGCAAATCAGGGAGGAACATCATTATTTCCAGGTCAAGACACATTATATGGTACTTTTTCAATTCGTGGCAAGGCTTATTTATGTACAAAATAATCAAACAAAACTTACAAAATATTGCAACGTTTATATAAGATAAATATTGGCAATTGACTATTTGAACGTTTTGCAAAAGATCGTGTGTTCAGCGAGTGATTCAAATTGTTCGGTGGGAAGTTCTTCTGGTGATGTTTCCCATGACGGATGACCTCTTGAAGAAACTACAAACTTGCGCTTGTGCCTTGAGGTCATTGCAGTGAATCATTTCGTTTTGTTGGAAAAGCCCTTCAACATCTTCCCTAATTTTGTCGCACTGTATTTAATGCTTTTTAACAACCCTGTAAAAACAGCACTGTATTACAATAGGGCATGACACACAAAGAGCCTTAATAGTGACTGTGCTCAATTTTCACAGCTTACCTGCAGTTGCAATGCCCTTGATGCTTTGAGATAGACTGGAAGATTTCACAATTTGAACAATGCCTGTGAATTTAAAATTAACAAGAGGGATTGGTCAAAAAATAGTTTAACTTTCACAAAGCCTTTCTCACCTCACGGTTGCATCATTATTATTTCTGCAATGCTTTCAATTAAAAAGCGCTCTACAGTTTAGCCTAAAAATCCTAAAACAAGCAGAGGATGCACACGGTCCCTCATCCAAAGAGCTTACATGCTAAATGTGAAGGGGAATGCAAGCTATAGATGAGAAGTAATTATTATTTTTACAGGTACTTTGTAACTTTATGATCCGTGTTCTTTTCTCTCTTAAGCCAGTGTTTCTCATAGTTTTTGGACCCCGGACCACTCAGCCAATGCAAACATTTCCGCAAACCATACAGCCCCCCACTCCTTTGGACAAAATGCATTCACTTATCTCTAGATACCAGTAAAACAAAATTATTCATATTACAGGAATATAAAAAAGTTTTTTGTGAACACGGCTATCAGGTTTTAGTTTTTAGAGGGGGCATTTCGATCTTTGGGCTTGGGTCGTTTAATCATGGTAGTTTACCTAACTTCATTTCTAAATTAAATATTAGAAGTAAAATATGAATAAAATATGAATTAATGTCCGAAACAAAAGGTATAAACATTGTCATTATTTCTGGATCAACCTGTATTTGTGTCAGCTCGCAGACCACATGGAGATCCGTCGCGGACTACCGGGGACCACACTTTGAGAACCGATGCCTCAAGCTATCTGGTGAAGGGCAGGTTCATGGATTAAGCTCCCTTCATCTTATCCCATCGCACTCCCCCCTCTTCACCTCGCAACACCACGTTCCATAACACTATGGTTCTTGAGCCATTACAAGGTTGGTGAAGGTGGGGGTAGGTGTATAATAACATTTGATTTTGCTGCACTGCCCACTACTGACTGCAATGGCATTACACTACCTAGGCTCAACTCTGCTTAGCTTATTAGATCTAATGAAATTGGAGGCATTCTACATTATTTGGTCAGTGACTCTTTTAAATGCAGCAATTCACTCTTTATAATTACACGCCGGTGTGACGTGGCAATGCATATGACTGGAGTGTGTGCACCCCAGACAGACCTTGCAGCACCAGACTTCCACAGTCAGGGTTCTGCGCCACCTGCAAGAGCACCTCCTCCACGTCGCGGTTTCTACCCGGGGGATCCACAAGTAAAGTCACCTGCTGCTGCAGCGTACGCGGCAGTGACATGAGCTGTAAGAACTGGCTCTCCATGCTCTTGTCAAGCTGCGACGCAGCCACACACAGGACAACATCATGATCATCATCATCATCATCCATGAGTTATCTCTATGCTGTCACCATCTTTTATGATCTTGTATTGTAATAATACATTCAGCAATCTTGCATAATATAAATTAAACACGTAGGCTTTAGCGACCAATATTAGGACTCAGAATATATGTTTTGGGTCAGATCGTGGAACATTGTACTAATTTGTTAAAAGTTGTGAGTTGTGAGATTACTCTTGAACATGCTGGTGTGCTGCAGCAGTAATAATTTGGAACATTTCTTTACGTGACAACTTCATTAATTTGCTGTGTTGGGTGAAGGAGGATTTACAACACATATTGTACTTATGTGATCGGACCCAAAAATAAATCTATTATGAATCACAACATGAAAAGAAAATAATTAATTCTTAGATGCATGATTTCATGGATTACAAGAGTAAAAACGGACTTCAATTGATTGATCATGTCTATTAGTTAGATCACACACATTACCATTACACTTAGGCCTGCTGTTTCAGGGATATTTTAAATACTTTAAAGTCAGGTGGCTAAGTGGTGCACGAGTCATAGCACTGAGTTTGTAGAGCTGTAATCCAGGGCTCTGATATAAGCAGATATTTGGGTTCTCAAAACTGGGTTCTCAAGTGCAGTCAGTTGCTGGTCTCAGACTGGTTTCTAATGACTGCACACGTAAAAAAAAACCAAGAGAATAAAAACAGAAAACTGTTGGCTTGCCTGTAATAAAATTAACGCCACGATTGTAGGGTGTGTGGACACTAGGTCAACTGAAATTCAGTTGAATTGGGCAGACGGGCTAACCACCAGACAGGCTCACACACCACTGCTAAACATGTGCGTGCGACTGGCGTGCCGGACTGCACCTCGAGCTTGCCCTGCGTCTGCTTGAAGACCACGTGCGGGTTCTCGTGAAGGAGGCGCGCATAGAGCCTGCGAAAGTGTTCAACGTTCGGCTTGACTATATTCTCCACCTTGGACCTGTCCTCTCCCACAGTCATCCGGAAATCGCCTGCAAGAAGAAGAATAATCGGTGAGAACCACTTAACTCATTCCACTGCTGAAGGCAAAAAAAAAATATCAGAGCCAGTAAACTATGGACGAAATGTACACTCTTCTAAAATACATTGTTCATCGATATGTTAACTAAAAGGAAGAGCTTGGGTATGGTGGAACACAACTGTAATCCAGAACATTCCCAGCAAGAGTTGGTAGGTTACACAGGTTTGTCAAAATCCCAAACCCACATGGCTCTAAAGTGGTCAAGAGCTGGCAGTAAAGGAAATATACTCATTGGTTTTTTCGGTAAAGTCACGTAAAAAAAACAATGAGTAATTTTATGCAGTCACGAAAGCTTTAATACTTTAGTAAAGGAAATATGTTTGTAAACCGATCTTTGTAAGAATAATAATTTCCATCCGTAAGGCACATTTAATCCCTAGATCCCGAAAGGGCTTTTTAATGTTTTCTCCCATATGCTTAGACTTTCACTGGGTAGGTAGGCATTTTCTCCTAAATGCAAGGAAATGGACAAACATTCCAATGCAATACCCTCCTGAAAATGAGCTTTGAGGCTCAATAAGGCTTTTTTTTAAGTGATAGTATTCCCATACCTGCATAAGAGAGTCTGGTTATGGCAAGATACAACTCCTCCTCATTGAAGGACTCGGGCAGCATCAGAAAAGCACAGTTGATGGCACTCTTCAGGTTGCTCAAAAGGGCAGCTTCTAGTCGGCTATCACTGCTTTGTTTCAGAACCTTCACCTGTGGAATCAATTACAAACGTATTAAGAGTCAAACTAAGACAACGCATTAAATAAAAATGGCAGTTCCTTTTAAATTCGTTCTCTTTTTTTTTAAAGCTGCACCACTTACTGGTTTATGAAGTCTGCCACTAATGTACATCGTCTTCCAATGAATCAGATCATCGATCAGGTTTTTGGTGCTTATAACTCCATATTTTATCGTCTGAAAAATATATCCAAAAGAACACCATCAGTCACATGGATGCCTGAATTTATAAGACGTAACACACTTATTACAATGTTTTTTTTCCCCACTTAAACAAGACCTTGCAGGCCTAGTATAGCTTGAAAGCAGGCACGTTTTTTTTATGTTAAGCTTTGCTTTGAGGCATTATTTACATTGTCTGAAACTCACTCCCATTGTCTGAAAGTCACACCACTGACTTCACTCATTTACCTAAACAGTTGAATAAAAGCTGATTATAACCATAAGGAATCACAAACCGATGGTATTGATGAGCTACATACACCCTAAGACTTTTGACACAGGTCAACAACGCATGTGACCTAGATTTTTCACCATGCGAATATTAAGCAGTTAAGAATTTGTCTTACCACTTCTCTAATTTCATGAACTAGAGTGATGTTTTTTTGAATAAAATTAAGAAAAACCCAAGTAACATGCGCAATAAAATTAAGAAAAACCCGAGTAACATGTGCAATATAGTTTTTCTTGATCTGGTAAACTTTAGGGGGTCAAACGTGACTGGGTGGTGGAGGGCAAAGCTTTACTTGGCTTCACATCACTCATGCAGTGCAGTTTTATCAAGGATTGTAGTTTATCAAGAAATTCAGTCCGCCTTACAATGGCACTTACCGATTTGTTTAAGCATAATTTTATAGTCTTGATTCCTGGATTCTCGCAATATTAAGATGCTTATTCTTAGCTCTTTCGGTAAAGTCACGTTGAAGGAAAAACAATAAAATAATAAAATATATAAAACAATACAAATTCTCACGACGTTTCGACCGTTTGTGTTATGGTCGAAACGTCGCCAGAATTTTTATTGTTTTATATATATTTTAATATTTTATTGTTTCCCTTCAACGTGACTTTACCGAAAGAGCTAAGAATATGAATTACTGCAGTAACAAAAGCTTTACATCTAAATTAAGATGCTTCTTACATATAAAATCTACATTCATCTTATCCGTTTATAAAAATTACATTCCATCTTGTTTGTCATTGCTCATTCTACTTATCTCAAATGCTAAGTATTTTTTTTGTTAAACCAACGACATGTGCATTATAGCTTATATAAGCTTCATAGATTGTAAAATCGTAACTAATAGTGAGACTTGTGGCAGGCTTGTGTTCGGTCAACTGCAGATTAAATGTTTTAATGCAATGCACATTTCGTCATGGTACAAAACGCAATCCAATAAAAAATTATTACAAAGTTATGGGAAACTGATATCGCACAATAATTCTCATATCGTGATATTTCACACACTCCATATTTTTTGAAAAATTATACTGCGGCAACCCTACGTGCAATAACACGGACGACATACCCGTCCCTCGCAGGGCACCAGGGTGTTGTAGTAGACGTGGGCTCCGTACTTGTCCTGCAGGTGGACCACTTGCCGTGGTCCCAGCCAGCGCAGAGCCGAGTAATGTTTGGGGTTGCTCTTCAGGTTGGCAGTGTGCCAAGTCAGAGGATTGTCCACCGCCAGCACAAAATCCAGCATGGTGTTCTGGGGAAGAACAGGCATGGCATTGCTCCATTGCTTTAAATCTTTAAACAAAAAGAACGGAAAGAAGCAAAGAGTATAAAATAACTCTACACAAAAGTGAGATAAGTAGCAATCATAATCATTACACTGGCACTGAGGTTAGGGGCCGTCCATAAATGACGTCACGCGATTTTGGACGATTTTTGACCCCCCCCCCTCGTCACACGGCGTCACAAAAAGTCAAACCCCCCTCAAATATGACGTCACAACGCTCTGCTCCCCCCCAAAACCATATTTCCATTTTGGAAAAAAAAAATGCTTCAAATCGCTTTAAACTATTGTCATTGTAGTGCGTATTTAATGTGGCGCTGCACTCTGATGTTGTCGGAGAAAACATTTATTAAAAAGTCTACTTAATTAAATCGAACGTGTTATCTATATTTATTTCAAGTTGCACATTTTGATGTGACGTCACATTTCTCAAACCCCCCCACCCTCGTCACACATCGTCACAAATGTCTGATCCCCCCCCCACCCCAGGTGCGTGACGTCATTTATGGACGGCCCCTTATGCATGTTAAAACCCTGTAGCCAGGACCACATATCTGTGTGTGTGTGACCTTCATTTCGGCATCGCTCAGAAGCCACGAGGCCATCTCCCCTTTCTCCTTTGGCTCCAGTTTCCCCACTGCCCGATTTTTTTAATATTCCACTTGTGTGCTCCTCATTGCCCACATTGTATCCCCAGCGTCTCTGTATCCCTGGCGCCACAGTGTCCCACTACTACTCATGCCACTCAAGTGTCTCTCTCGGTACCCATTGTACATCTGTTGCCTCTCTTTGACACTCAATGTATCCAACTGTTGACGAGTAAACCCATTACACCCACCGTCGTCTACCCGTGCACCCAGTGTCACCAGTACCCCAATACACCTCAATATCACGAATGCCGCTCATTGACACTCGGTGTCCACGTAGTCAGCGAGTGTCTCGGGTGTCTTTCACTGCGCCCAGTGCTTTTGGTTGCATCTCAGTATCCACCCCGGTCTCTGGCACATGGCCTCAGTGCCTTTCACTGTCCGTACTGCCTCTCGCCAATGTCACTCGGCGCCTTCAAGTATCCCCAATTGTCACCTTCGCGTCCCTGTTTTCAATCTCCGCGTATTCCCAGTGTGACGGTGTCAACCACTGACGATCACCGGAGTATTTATCACCAATACCATCCAGTTACCATTGCACGCGGTTGTCTCTCAACATCTCTCCACGTGTCGCCCCCCCCATTACCACTCACGCCTAGCAATGCCAGAGTTGCCCCCCACTACAGCACCCCAGTGTCTCCAGCCCGTGCCCACCCCCGCCACCGTCTCTCAATATCACCGCAACGTCTCCGGGTCCCCAGTTTATTTTCTCTCCTCTCTCTCTCTCCTCTCGGTGTCCCTCGCGTCGCCTCGCATTAACCCTCGACGCGTGGGGGGGGGGGGGGGTTAATGCGAGGTGTGTGTGTGGGGGGAGGTTAATGCGAGGTGTGTGAGGAGGTTAATGCGAGGTGTGTGAGGAGGTTAATGCAAGGTGTGTGTGAGGAGGTTAATGCGAAGTGTGTGAGGAGGTTAATGCGAGGTGTGTGTGTGTGAGGTTAATGCGAGGTGTGTGTGTGTGTGAGGAGGTTAATGCGAAGTGTGTGTGTGTGAGGAGGTTAATGCGAAGTGTGTGTGTGTGAGGAGGTTAATGCGGGTTGTGTGTGTGAGGTTAATGCGAGGCGCGTGTGGCTTTGCCGGCCAGCTGAAGCGGTCGTCTCTCACTCACCGCCGAGGAGGCATCGGCGGCGCGGCCCTGCTGCTGGAAGACGCCCGAGCCGTAGGCGACGGCGAAGCTCACTTCGTGAGGGAGGTGAGTCAAGATCCTGCGGTAGACGCCGCCGCTCAAGGACAGCGACATCGCCAACTCGACAACTCGACAACCTTCACCGCACAAGCCGTTTACAAAAACCGTAGCCCGCACGCGCGACCGGCCAATCGCGATCGCCTTTACGGCGGGCGGCCGTCCAATGGGGAGCGCAGACGCGGCTCGCTCGCGCTTATCCGCCGTGCGGAATGCAAATGAGGCGAAGGGTCGTGGCCGTTTCGCGGGGTTTTTGTGTTCGCCCCCCCTCACCGCCGCCGCCGACGGAGTCCGCGAGTCTCGTCGAGTTGCGACGAGTCCGTGTTCGGGGGGCGAACACTCACGATAAACAACGTCTCTCACAGGCAAGGCGTTGTCCATGTGCGGTCTCGCATTTGTTTGATGGTGGGGGGCAGGTGGCGAAGGTGGTTGCCGCTGTCGAGTCGCCGGCCACGTGGTTCGCACGTGTTTGTCACTTGGGAGCTTGCACCGTGCCCCACCTAAGATGAACGAATTGTTAAGACAACTTGGACGAATTTTTGCGGCCGCGCGTTTCGATAGCATTCGGTTTTAAATGCGTCCCGGTTTTTGGCACGCTATCGGACGCTCGCAACGCGCGCGTTATTTAGCTGTTTGCGCGACGCTCTCTGCGCGCTTTCATTTTGTACAGCGCTGTAGATAGTCTCGGTTCTTTCGGGTAAAGTCACGTAGAAGGGAAACCACGAGAGATTCGTCCATGAGGCTATCCACGTATACAAACACAGAGACAATTTCAACCGAGAAGATGGATTATGGGCTTAGCAATCATTGGAAGGATTTGATAAAGCATTTCAGGTCTTAATTGATTGTTCACGCTTACGGTGGCTTTCAGACAGCATACATTAATTCTAGATTTAAAGCTTTCGTGACTGCTAGGATCCATACTCTTTGGTTCTATTGGGTAAAGTCACGTAAACTCCAGCGCTGTCCTCCAGACAGTCTCGTCCCTTCACCTGATGAAGGCCGCTTGTGTTGTGGCCGAAACGTCGTGATTTTTGTTGTTGTTCTATTTTCACCTACGTGACTTTACCCAATAGAACCAAAGAGTAAGCATACATTAATTTTTCGTCTCCCCCCTCCTCTTTTCCGAACATAGATGGACTCGTCCATCTGAATGACTGCCAAATCGCTCTCCGTGGTGCTAACGTTAAAAAAACGCCACTTTTTTAAAAAAAATATTGCTTTTGTTTTCACACCTGATGATGATTGCTTGTGTTGCAGTCGAAACGTCGTGAGAATTTTATTGTTTTATATTTGTATTGTTTCCCTTCTACGTGACTTTACCGAAAGAACCAAGAATATGAATCCCTGCAGTCACGAAATGCTTTAAATCAGTGCTGTAGATGTTATGCTAAGCATTGGTTGAGCCTGGGTCGTGCTGGAATAGGTGGCTGCATGCATAACAGCTGGTATAGGCTGCGGAGCTACGTGTTGCGCAGCTTCTTGGCTTTAGGAACGGCCATAAATGACGTCACGCACCTGGGGGGGGGGGGTGAGACATTTGTGACGAGGGTGGGCGGTTTGAGAAATGTGACGTCACATCAAAATGCGCAACTTTAAATAAATATAAACAACACGTTCTACTTATATTCTTGGTTCTTTCGGTAAAGTCACGTAGAAGGGAAACAAAATATTTTTTTATACTGGTAGGAACGAAGTTGTAAAACTGAGTGTACCAGCCTGCAATAGATTAATGTGTCCGTCCGTCCCCTTTCAATACTTTAACGAAGTGAAATCTCGTGCTGTTGGGGTGTAAAAATAAAATTGCACAAAATTCCAATGTTCTTACCAGCCCACCCTGCAGGGACCTGTTTATTTAAAAAAAAGAACCAAGAATATGAATCCCTGCAGTCACGAAAGCTTTAAATCACAACGTTCTACTTAATTAAATAGACTTTTTAATGTTTTCTCCTACAACATCAGTGTACAGCGCCACATTAAATACGCACTACAATGACAATAGTTTAAAGCGATTTGAAGCATGTTTTATTTTCAAAATGGAAATATGGTTTGGGGGGAGGGGGGCAGAGCTTTGTGACGTCATATTTGAGGGGGGGGTCTGACTTTTTGTGACGCCGTGTGACGGGGGGGGGGGGGGTAAAAAAATCGTCAAAAATCGCGTGACGTCATTTATGGACTGCCCCTTACCAACTCGCGTTAACCAGCGTGGTGAAGTCATTGATTCCCACGACCACCGCTTGGGATGAAGGTTTTCATGCAGTAGTGGATCGACCCCTGTGTCATGGGCCCAGCGAATTAACAGCACAATTGTCTTGCGTTGCAGATGCTCATAATAGCTCATATTTGAGGACAAAATAACAATCGTGGGCCAGTCACTGATAGCCATCGATGTCCCCGAATTCGGTCAATGGAAGCTTTGCATCATTCCGATTTATATTCTTGGGTCTTTCGGTAAAGTGACGTAGATAGTTTCAAAGAAAATAACAAAAAAACTACGACGTTTCGATCGCAACACAAGCGTTCGGGATCAGGAAGATGACGGACGCTTGTGTTGCAATCGAAACTTCGTTTTTTTTCCCCCATTGGAAACCTCATTTGCCAGTAACAAAATATGATAATTGGCTTTTTACCCTTTTATCTGGCAACAAAACTGACACTTTTTTTACAAGGAGTCATGTTTACATTGACCACAATATCTGCGGTCGGAACGCAAACAAAAAACAACTCTGATAATGTATGTGGCACTGTCCTTGAAATTGATTGGTCCACACCCGAGACAGCTTTGGACCAGAAGACGCCAAAAGGCGCACAACTCAAACACAATGCACCATCAGAGTATGAGAGCTCGGGGTAAGCATTTTTTTTGTTATTTTCTTTGAACCTATCTACGTTACTTTACCGAAAGACCCAAGAATATGAATTCCTACAGTCACGAAAGCTTTAAGTCATCATTCCGATTTGTCCCCTAGCAGATTGAATACACATCTGTTTTTTGGCATGCCTCCTAATATGAACTCTCCCCCCCCCCCCCCCCCCCCCACCATGGCTTCAAAACACAGACGTCATGCTCGTGGCATCATTAATGAAATGCCCAACTGCACACAGAGTGCTGAAAATTGTTCACAGACGATTGCAAGGTAAGTTTTCGTCAATACGTTACACTTGCTTTGAGCTGTATCAGATGCCACTGCAAAGAGCACGGGCTCGTTTAAAGATGTTGCTTTAGATATTATCACGGTCATGTTCCTGCAGTGTTTATTCTTGGTAATTGTCTCTCTTTTTATTCTGATGCCACAGTCCTTTGAAAACCGGCATAGAAATATTTTCTGATGTAGGTGATCGATAAGAATGTAATTATTTCCTCTCCAGCTTTTTGATGTAACCCCCCCCCTCCCCCAAAATATTCGATAAATTGCCATGATTCAAAGTTGTGCTTAAATTGAAGAATAATTTGTTTTTACATTTTGGTGAATGTAGTTGCCACTAGTGGCTGCATGGTTCAAGTGAATTTTATTGCAAGATGTACCAATAAAAAACACATTCACTACACGTGATATTATGCGTCTATCAGTTACTTAAATTATATTAATCGAGTTGATGCATTATTCCATCCTTCGTCATTCAGGTGTATGTGTGAGATGCAAACGTTTGCCATTACTGCTGTGGAATGATGTATATTGCATCACTCAAAAAGCCTACGCTCGAATCGCCCAGGAAAACCCATTGTAATTTACCACGTATATCCTCCCCACCTTCAACCCGCACTGACCAGCATGGGTGACATTGTTTCGATGGTTGCTGGCCACTCCACTGAAAATGTGTACAGGACATTACAAAGCGATTTTAATACAATTCAACTAATTGCACTTAAGCTGGTTTTAAATGCCAATAAATCAAAAGTGTTTTTTTTTCCCTCCAGGGAAAAGGCAACCGGCAACGTTTCCTTTACTATGCACGCTGGAAAACAAACAAATTGAAAAGGTTGATAAAATAAATTACCTTGGGGTCATCATAGACTCCTAAACTCACTTTCCACGGTCACATTGAACGTCCTGTGAGGAATGCAAAATTGAAAAAGTAACTTTCTCTACAGACATAAACATTGCTTGCCAGCTACGTTTTGGTTAGGATTGGTAAGGACTACCTTACTGCCATTATCAAGCCGCCTCCAATACAACACTGAATAAGTTCATTCCCACTTATAATTCTGCTCCAAGATTTGCTCCGGATGCCCATTATAAGTGGACTCATAATTTTGACGTACAAAAAAACTAAATTAACATCACTCCATGATCGCAGGACGATTTAGCAGGCGTTGTTTATTTACAATATCCTTAATGTTAATTCGGATTTGTTGACAGGACTGGAGTTCATCACTCCTGTTGAGCATTCCCAAACATAAAACAAGTTTTGGTGAACGAGCGTTTATGGTGGCTGCCCCTCCTTGTCTGTGGCAACAATATTGGCACAAAATTTGGTCTGCAAATCGTAACTTTCATGCGAATTTGTGCCCTGCTACCAATGCATGAAGAGTTAGACGAGCTGAAAAATATGAATTGCATGTAAGCGACCACTTTAGCGCATTGTTTACACTAGGTTTTTTGTTATAGATGCTGTTTTTTTTTATTCCTCACTATAATGCCATCGTGTTTTATGCCATATCTGCATTAAAATTATTAATATGGCAGATTTTAATTAGTATTTTTTTTAGATAACGCATGCTATTTTAATAATACATATTTCACTTTTATTTTTTTTTTATTTCGATTATGATTTGCTTATCTGATTTGCTTATCTGTTTATTAATCGTTTATTTTACTCTGACTTGTTGCGTATGTCGGGGAAGCCGGTGGTGTTACTTTTTGTTGATGAAACCCGATTTAAGAGCTTATTGGCTCACAGGGTAATTCAAAATAAACTGAACTGAAGAATGTTCAATTAACCCCCAGGGCTCACATGGCGTGGGGAGACCCTTATCCAGCAGTGGATTTCCAAAACAGCTGTACACGTACATTACTTAAAACCCGAACTGCCTTGAGAGTACTTATTCTCTCATTGAACAGGAGTGGTTGTGTAAAAAAGTCATCAATGATCGTATGAGACCATGAGCATCTTAAATTGGTTCATCATAATTCAAAGGCGAGCTTGACCATTTGCTCAGTCTAAATCCACTCTACGTGAAGTAACATTATGATGTGCGACGTTACGGAGCTGATTGGAGAGACGGTGACTTGGCGATGCGTGATCGTTGCAGGTGATGGGGTCAGGGTGCACCCCCGTGTGGCGGACGCCTTGGCAAAGCAGCAGCCGGTGGTCGCTTTGGAGAGCACCATTGTCACCCACGGCATGCCCTACCCACACAACCTGAGGTGCTTCACGATCCCACAATCCGCAAC